AAAAAGTACTTTAAAATTTCATCTTATATTAATTAATTGGTAAGAACCTACCAGTAACCATTATATGTACCCTTAAGTATTTGGATGAATACCCATCTGCCCATTGGGAAAATTCACATTTTTGATAGCCAGAGTAAAAAAGCATGAGTAGAATTATTAGCAGTGTTGCACCTTGGCAGTGAGGCCAATTTAGCCCTAAAGTTGTCTCTTAAATTATTCTGACAAAACTTAAAAGTAATCCTGGGAAGGATCAAGATGACCATAGGTCACTACGTGGCACAGCATGGTCCAGCTCATATTAAGGGAATACAGGAAAAAGCAGCTCATTTGCAAAGCAGAATGCACCTTTTGTAGCTACCTGGAATAGTTGTAGCAAACTAATGCAGAGCTGATAACTAAGACAAGCAAAATGTATTAACTCGCAGTTCTGAAGACCAAAAGCCTGAGGTCAAGTAAATTAAGGAGGAAGCTTTGAGAAGGTGGCCCCCTGGTTTTAGCCTGGCAGAGCAAAGTTCTCCAGTGAGCATGAAGCCAGCTGCAGCACTTTTTCAGGAGAATGTGCTCAAGTGTATGCGTTCATTCAACATAATTTGGCTTGGTAAATTGCCTGAGGACGTTATGAATATTGACTGTTGGATTTTGTTCTAGATAAAAGTACAAGGAACAACTAGACTGCTGAATTTGACTGCTCATTGTCCCTGCAAAGGTCATTGAGAACCCTTCAGAGACAGTTCTAATAATGTTTCATTTCCTGAAAGATATTACAAAGAAAAATCTGCCTAGCATCTTTTAATAACCAGGCTAATTTTTTAAAAATACAAAATAGTATCCAGTAGGTATTTCTATTAAGATTGAAAAATGTGTGCATCAGTAACCAAAGTTTAAGCTCTATTTGGGTAGTACATACCTATAATCCAAGTTTTTGGGGGGTTCATGAGTTAAGGCCAACATAGGATACATGGTAAAACCCCATTTCAAAAAAAAAAAAAAACCTATGACTAGAGATGTAGCTTATTGGTAGAGCACTTGCCAAGCACATATAAGGCCCTATGTTTGATTCCCAGTACCCACTCCTCCCCCCCCAAAAAAAAGGAAAGAGGAAAGAAGAGAGAGTCAGACAGAGCAAATGACCAGCCTAACTCAGTGTGGTTGTGTGTACCTCTAGTTCCACCATTAGAGCAAATGACCAGCCTAACTCAGTGTGGGTGTGTGTACCTATAGTTCCACCATTAGAGCAAATGACCAGCCTAACTCAGTGTGGGTGTGTATACCTATAGTTCCACCATTAGAGCAAATGACCAACCTAACTCAGTGTGGTTGTGTGTACCTCTAGTTCCACCATTAGAGCAAATGACCAACCTAACTCAATGTGGTTGTGTGTACCTATAGTTCCACCATTAGAGAGGCTAAGGTAGGAGGATCACTTGAACCCAAAAATTGGAGACCAGCCTGGGTAACATAGTAAGACCTGATCTCAAAAAACAAACAAATAGAAACAAAACTTGTTCGTGGCACTTCACTCAAGATTTTGTCCAGTCTACTTGGCTTTGAGAAAGAGATTCTGTTTTAAATTTTCATGGTCCACACTCAGGGTGGCATAGGAATATTATACTGTTTTTCAATATAATATTCAATTAATTGTATACAATATTCAACAATTTCTTGTGAATCAACTACTGTTAGATGATTTGTTTCAAGTGTAGGCTTAATATAAATTCTTAATGCACATTTAAGGTGTACCAGGATAAGCTGTGATTAGGTATATTAAATGCATTTGCCAATTAATGATACTTCAACTTATAGGTCTGTTATGAGCTAACACGATCAAAAGTCAAAGACCATCTGTATATAAACAAAGTGGATTTTATGAACCATTTTGTTTCCCAGACCTTTTATTACCAACATGATAATAAGATATGTGCACACTAGCACATATCTTTTAGCATTTGTTATAGAAAGATTTTGTAACTACTCTTTCAGCTTAAGAATTGAATCATATTGCAGAAAACAGTTCTGTGCTACATACATGCAGGCCATTGTGGAACACCAAGGGGTATGTCTCAAAAGACACTCATTGAGACCTTCCAAACAGACTGTTAATAATGAGGCCTGCTGGAACAAGAGGATGATCCAGATACTGTTCACTGGGGACAAACCTCTTGCTGGCTTTTTGCCTACTGGCTTTTTTACAGTTTTGCTTGAACACTCGAACAATAAAATCTTGTAGATAGAAAGGCCAGGATTTATTCATAATTTGCTGCCAAATTCAACCAAGGAAGATTACCATTGCACTGTAATTATCAGAAGGAAATACGTGTTTTCAAATGAGAAGGTAATAGCATTTTAGATAGGAACACACACTTGAAAACCAGCTTCTCCTGAGCCACATGGTTTCTGTCATGGACTTTCAGTATAAGAGAAGAGTCCTAGCCAAAGATCAGACTCTACTGCCAGAATGTAGACTGTCAAAATGACAGGCACACCAGTCCTTGTTGATAGGCACATAGACATTTGTGGCAAATGTCCATAATAATATCATGACATGCTCCAAAGACTGTTCCATTGCTTTAAAGCAGTGATTCTCAACCTTCCTAATGCTGCAACCCTTTAATACAGTTCCTCATGTTGTGGTGACCCCCAACCATAAAAGTATTTTTGTTGCCACTTCATAACTGAAATTTGCTACTGTTATGAATCATAATATAAATATCTGTGTTTTCAGATAGTCTTAGGTGACACCTGTGAAAGGGTCCTTTGACCTTCAAATGGGTTGAGAACCACTGATTTAGAGGCTGATGCCTCATCAACCATCAGCCTCCAAAGGATGCTCGTTGTGAAATTTGATGAGAAGGGCATTGTCTCTGTCTTAGGAGATAGCACTCTTATGGTGCAGAGACAAAGCTTAAGCTCCCCAGGGCTGGAAATAGATACATGGGAAGCATTACTCATGTGTGCTTCCAAGACAGGATAATGACAAGGGCTTTATCTCAAGCCATCAAGTTATGGAACTGCAGTGGTCTGCTAGAGCTGCATACCAGAATACCACAGATTGTGTGGTTTAAACAATAGGAATTTACTTTCTCATGGTCTCAGGCTAGCGGTCCAAGATCAAGATATTAGCAATGTTGGTTTCTCCTGAGGCCTTTTTTCCTGGCAGGGGGTCACCTTTGCACTGTGTCCTCACATAGCCTTTTTCTCTGTGTGCATATGTGTTTCTGGTATCTCTTCCTCTTCCAAGCATAGTGATCTTATTGATCAGGACGACTTAGGATGGTATTGTTTAATTTTAATTGCCTCCTTAAAGGCTCTCTCTCCAGATATAGTCACATTAGGGACTAGGGGCTTCAACCTTTACATTTAAAAGAGTACAGCATGGTCCATAACAAAATGTGTGTAACAAGTTCATAGGTAATAGCAACTAGTGGCATGTAATATGGTGTGCTACATTTGGATCTTAAGAACATATCCAATTCAGTGGATACTACCATAGAAGTATGGTGGGCAATCTCATGCCAGGCCCTTGTGGAGCCCTCTCTCTCAAGAGAGTCTTTCATCAACAGACCCTTGTGGAAAATTTAGTGGAAACTCTAATATATCAGTTTTATGAACTCTAAATTATGAGTGGTCCACACAATGACATAAACCCAATGCGAGACTTCCTAAATGTCATGTACACCTGAGCTGAATCCTTCTGCTGTCCTTCAGAAGAACTGGAACTATACAGATAAGCATGCTGGCCTCATCCAGCCACTGTATTCCTTTGACATGGGTCATCAGACCCCCACTAACTACCCAAGCTTTAACTTCCCCTGCCTTTGACTGACACTCATAATGCAGGGTTCACCATGTTGAACTATTTGGGGCTTCTCTTAACTGAACACAAACACTCTGTAAAATCTGACTGAGATGCACGCCCACACACTTTGCCTAGCTAATTCCTAATTATCCCCTATTCTCCTCCAAAGCTTACATGAGGTACCTCTTCAAGAAATGATGATCCTACTTCTGGTTGGTTTACCACTGCTGGTGCAGCATCAGGCACGTTAGGATTGAAATCATTGTTCACTGAAAGAATTCAGCAACCTAGTTTCAGAGGGCTCTAATGGTGGGTGTTCATTACACAGTTATGTAACATACATTTTGAAGCCCTGTTCAGTGAAGAAACAGTAGAGTAAGCATGTTCGTGTGCATGCATACTATTTACCCCACTTTACACAGTGTACTAGATCTGAGATGGACTGGGCCCTCCTTTCAAACACTATCAAGGACTTTTAAATGCCTGTGCAGCTCTACAGCATCATTTTGACTTGTGTGTGTGTGGTTTTTTTTGAGGAAAATATATCAAATAGAATAAATACTGTTAGCAAACAAAGAAGAGGATTCTCATAGAAAGGCCTTTGCTCTTCGCTTGTGCCTAACAAAGATCAGCTGTTAAAGGAAAGTCAGAAGGATTAGGTGTTGGTATAAAAATATCAAAAGCTGTTTTTCAAGAGAAGTTTTTCTCAAAAGGAGACTTCAGCAGTAACCCAGTGATGATAATAGAATTATATAATCAAGTTGTCCCATTGAGCTTCTCCTTTTTTGTAAAACTGATAACCTGGAGCTTCTTTATTTCAGACGCATCTGCTTAGCACAGAGAATGGGACCTCAAGGTGTACTATAAAGCAGTTCTAAGACAGAGAATGGTGTGTGATGGGTTTGTCTTTTTTTTTTTTAATTTGTTTCAAAGTCATTGACTTCACAACTTTAACATCTGGTATTTTGAAGCTAATCTTGGTGTGTTGAGTGCTCTTAACCATTTCTCAATCCCGCAGTCTTTTATCTTTCTTCTCCTGCTGTGTTCCCACCGCCCCGGTCCTATTAGCAACCCTTGATGCAGCCTCAGACTTACCAAAGTCCTGCTTTGGTTTCAGCTGCTCTTCTGCAAGAGGAAGTGAGTGTTGGGGCTTTTTCTGTGGCACAGTTGTGATAAAGCTGTGGTGGTCTTATCTCCCTCCTAGGTCGTGGCTCTTTATGACTACACAGCGAGCCGATCAGATGAACTAACCATCCATCGTGGAGACATTATCCGAGTGTTTTTCAAAGATAATGAAGACTGGTGGTATGGCAGCTTAGGGAAGGGGCAGGAAGGCTTCTTTCCAGCTAATCATGTGTCTAGTGAAAGTAAGTGCATGTTCTCTCTCTTCCTGGTAATACTGAGATGGTAAAACTGCACCCAAGATTTGATCACTTTCTACCCTTTAATGTATTGTCTACATAATCATTGCATGTGTTTACCAGTGTCAAACGTTTTCCATTCTCCTGATGGAAAACTTGAAGAGAAGAGGCACTAGTCTACCGGAGGGTTACTAAGCTGTGAGATGGAGGTCATCCCTGGGGAGCCTCCTGCAGCTACTCCGTCAGCTCCTTCTCCCCTGCTGCCTGCTGCACACAGTTTCCTCAGCTCCTCTCTCACCACAGTGACTCCTCAGTTGACCAGCATATCAAATCCCTCAGCTCTCACTCTTCCTGGTTGTATCCCTCAGCTCTGGCCAGGTATCTGCCGAAACAGGAGTGAGGGGGCTGTTTCATTCTCAAGTTCATTAAGCAGGCATCTGTGAAAAGAAAAGTGAACACAAGAAGATTCCCAATGAGGCCTTCTAAAAGCTATAGTTGTTGTTGCGAGGCTTTGAAGGGTGAAAATAGAGCTGCCACAGGAAGCCTGGCAGTGAGGTGAACTGTCATGAGAGAGCAGCCTGCAGTAGTACTTCTTCAGAACAGTGTCCTAACAGCAGCTGGCCTGGTGGCATACTAGGGAAAGCTCAGAACATAGTCAGGAAGGGCACGTTGGAGCACATGTCCAGCAGTTTATAGTGGCCTGTGTGATCTCACCTTTGAAAGGAAGATGTTGAGCTCCATCAGCTAAGCTCTCCTACACAGACACTCATGTGCTTCTGATCTAAAGGGCAATAGGAAACACTGTTTGCAATATATTGTCTTGTGTTTCTGCAACAATTAGTTATTCCTAATAGTTGACTTTCATGCTAATCTTTGAGACCCCATTTAAACCAAATTATGACTGAACAAAAGTACTACTAATTCCTGTTTAAGTTGAGAATTTTGAAAGTAAACGTATATTTTTAAAAAATTAAAGGAGGAAGAAGAATGTCTTAGTTGATTACTGAGCTAGGCTACATCTAGATGAAGTGGCTTCTCTTTAATGCCCGCCCTCTGCTGCCCCCTCATCCTCCCAGAGCCTCGTTTAGTACTGCGGCTCTCCTCCTCAGCTTGTCCGTTGCCTCAACAAACTCCTCTCCTAAAAGTGCCAGGAATTGCAAAAATTACCCACTTCTGTCTCCTACAGCACAATTCTTAGTTTTCTGTGTGTCCCTGCTTTATTTATTCTCTAAGGAATGACTAATAGCTTGTAAACTCTCCTCGGGGTGCATTCCATGGCTTAAGACAGTGTTAATGTCCTCTCCCACCGTAAACATCCACACTCCTCCCCACCCTTTCCCTGGGCCAGCTCTGGAGCAGGGGCATGGCTGAGCTTCAGGGGCAGTGGCTTGCTGCTAACCAGAGCTGTTGTGTAGCATTCTCACTGGAATATGTCTGTGACACTGACCAGGCATCAGCCTGTTCCTGTCGGAGACCACTGAAAACATTTACAGATACTGTTTTGACTTGACAGTATAAAGAGATCATGTGTCTCCCAACAGCATATTCTGCAGAAATAGGCCCCAAGGTTTGCCTCTTGACAGGCTACAGATACGTGATCAACAGTTAGTTAAAAATCTAATAAACTTCATTCTCCTTACATAGTAACTTGGAAAGCTCCTGCAGTGGTGGTCAATGGCTCTGTACAGAATTGACTTCTTGCCTCCACTCATGGCCACCCTGCAGTTACCATCATTTCTAACTGTGCCCTGGGTAATTGATGCTTCCTCTAGTCACTGTGTCTTTAAGAGCCTTGTGGAGGTGAGAGCAGGAGACAAATCAGAATACACGAGATAGAAGAACTGAGTCTCATACTTCAGCAGGCTCTTTCATTCCCTTTTAGCCTAGTTGTTGCCTAAGTTTAACAAAATTTCACCTGCCGTATTTAGCGTTGCAGGGAGAATGGCCCTCAGCAATGTCCTCCGTTGTAAAGCTAGTGGAAGGAATTGTCCCTGACCTTTATCTGAAGTCACGTGTGCAAAGCATGTGCGTGAATTTATGTATGAACAGGATCTCTGCCCTCTGTCAACTAAGAACAGCAAAAGGAAAGAAGATACACTCCATCGTTAACCAGTCTGATTCTGTGTCTAAGCCACTGGGAAGAAAACAGTCAGTTCCTCCCAGTCACATCTAACACACTTTTCTCAACATACAAAGAAACCTAGGAGTAATACCAGCCCATACGCACATCCAGCTAATAGCTCATAATCTTAATTGTGCAGTTTCAATTAAATACATCTTTGGAATTTCTCAATTCTGAATTATTCTTAATTAAAATAGATTTTCATTTTAGCCCTTTAAGATTTGCATATGGCTTTTTACAATAAAATGCATATATTTCATGAAGACTCAATGTAGATTATGATCTTAAATTAAAGGGGTTTTAAGTTTAAATCTTAAGCATAATCCTAAATCTGTGTTTATTCATTCTTTGTGCCCAAATTATCCCTCAGGGCACAGTTTCACCTGCTCTTCAGAGCTAGATATACCTTCCACTTCCTCCATTCGGGATTTTCCATTGTCTTTGTTGTTAGCTGCCTTTCAAATGATGCTGTATTTGTGGACGTGACTGACAGCCTCCAAGCTCACAGGAGCTCCTTGAGAGCAGAGACCATGCTGCTACCTAGCAGATAACCTTATATCCAGCAGGCTCCTGCTAACTGCATATTGAGAAAAAAACTGAAATAAGCATCTATGTGACCATGCAGTTAGTAAGTTGATTCCTTCTGCATTTCTAAATCTTCATGATTGAAGCCTTGCAGTCACAACTAATGGGTCAGTCTGCACACTACCTTAACAAATACATCCACATTACTAGTTATTGCAACAAAGAATTGAATATCAATTTCTCTCAGTTTAGATATCTGCCCTCCATCGTAGTTGTTCTCTGGTGGAACAGTACAGTACTCTGGATTTAATGGTATGAATTCCTGTTTTAATTCCAGCACTGTATCGAGAATCCCCTCCAGAGGTAAAGATGCGGTCTCCTCCTTTAACACCCAAGGAGAAAATCAGAGCAGAAAAGTTCCCAGCTTCTCAAAAGGTATGCACTGTCAAAAATGTGTGTTGTATCTAGGATGCTCTGATGTTTTTCAATCTGTATAAAATGTTCCTTTATTTTTCATGCTTATGATCTTCCATTGTTTACATTGTTACTCCTTTTGATCTGGGCACCAACATGAACTAGATGAAGTGAATGTTACAGCCATTTTCCAGATAAGGAAACTGAGGAGGCTCAGAGAGGACAAAGTCCTAAACCCCCAAGTCACAGCCTGTGCTGGTCCACAGCCCAGAAGTAGAACTTGTGACTTCCAGCATGCTGCTCTCCACTCTGTACTTGTATCTTCGGTTCTCACACTAACCCTGCATCCCTCACCTAGAAGGTACACAGTGATGCCAGAAGTCACAGGAGTCCACAGAATAGAGATGCTCTATCCCTTCAGGATAGTTCATGTCACTTGCTAGTAACTGAAGATGCTTTCAACTGTTGTCAGCCAGAGAAATGCCATTGCCTTTTAAGGTCTGTGCCATCAGAAAGAGCAGTGTCTTTCTGGTGTGAATAGTATTTCTATGCATAAGATGTATTAGACCTGTTCCATTTGTGACATTAGCTCTTGCCTTAGGCTGAGAAGCCATGTCAGTTTTTTATTATGAACACACACACACACACACACACACACACACACACACACACACACACACACCAATATATGTATCTTGTGGTTTTGGCAATTGACCCCATCCTGTACAAGCCATTCAACATGTCGTTACTTAGTTCTTTCATGCTGACTATTCTTTTAGCCCAAATGAAGCTGTATAAGTGGACAAGGCACTTACCTTATGGTTTTGACAGGCTGCTAGTAAGCCACCTAAGCAGGTAGTTTCAACAGACTCTTGGAATGAGAATGAAGAGCATATGCATGTTCCATTGGGAACACATGGAAAGAAAGCCTTCCATTCTATTCTGGGAAGGCCAGGAAGAGCTCTCAAGGGAAAAAAATTTATAGTCTAAAGCTTCGAGGACTTAAAAGAAGTGTTATATGAAGTTATACAAACTATTTGGGGGTTCTTCTTAACTGAACACAAACATACTGTAAAATCTGTCTGAGATGCACGCCCACACACTTTGCCTCGTTAATTCCTAATTATCCTCTATTCTCCTCCAAAGCCTACATGAGATACCTCTTCTAGAAATGATCCTTGAACTTGTGCGATACAGGCTGCAGGTTGGACACACCTACCTGTCAAGCGGTTGGATTATCTGAGCATTTAGTAGTCAAGAGGACCCTAACAGCTTTGCACTGGAATCAACATGACAAGCCAGTGGAAGCCATTCTCAGGGTTTTACTTGGAAGAAGTGAGTGGGGGGAGCATGAGTAGTTGTTGGAGGAAGATAAGATGTCCAGCTATTTTTCAAGTATTGAAGAGACACAGACTGATATGCCATGGAGGCAAAATCAGGACATGATGGATTGTGGAAGACACAGGAGTTTGTTTTATTATAGAAGAACAAAATGACCAATGAGTTTTGGCATAGACCAGTGCTTCTCAACTGGTAGTGATTTTGCCTCCCAGGAGACATTTGGCAATGCCCAGAGACTTTTGTTGTTATGTCAGCTATAAGGAGCAGGTAGGGTACCACTGGCATCTCTGCAGTATTTAGTGGTCATCACTTATCCTTCTACAACTCAACAGAGAATTGACTAGGCAAATATGGCAAGAGAGTCAAGCTTAGAGCAGCCTCCCTTTCAAATGGAGGGGGAGAGAACTTGGGTAAAGTCAAAGCCTAGAAATAAAGAGTGAGTTATTTCCTGCATGCTACACCAGATTGGAGAATTCAGAGAAGCAAGAGAAGGCTGGTAGACTTAGAAAGCTAGGTTTGCCACTAGGTTACAGGAAGCTATCCATTCTACGAATCAACAGCAGATTTAAAAAAGAGGCAGATGCTTTTCCTAGTTCAGGGCTCTTAGAACAAACATGCAATAGTTTGTAATGGCTTACATGACGGATCATTCCTGCCATATGGAGCCTGGCAAGTCCAAGGTCGAGGTGCTAGTAGATCTGGTGTCTGTCGAAGGTAGACTTTGGTTTGCGGTTCTATTGCGACCTCACAGGACAGACAGACAGACAGAGAAGGCTCTCTCATTTCCTGTTTTGCAAAAGCACAAATCCCACTTGTGAAGATTCTATCCTTACCACCTCATTATCTCCCCAAACCATCCTGGTGAGGCTTGACGGAATTTTGAAAAGATATACATCATCCACTGGTAACAATTCTATACTCAATTTACAACCTAGATAAATCCGTGCCATGGAAATACAGCATTCGCATGGGGGCAGGAACAAGGCTTTGGGTTTAGTGTGAATTGCAATGAAAGATGGAGCCTTACTGGTGTCCCCAACTTACACTGTGCTGACCACTGAAATGAAGGCCATGCACTCCTGACTCTAAGTGTGTTCCTCTCCGTTGAGTCTGTCAGCCAGAGGGGAGAGTAGGAGTCTTCTGTATTTAACGGCTCCTGTGAAATTGGTCTTGGCCTCCCTCATCATGATGTGCCAGTGTTCCTAAGGACCACTTACTTCAGAGAACTCTCACTGCTCTGGACCACTCTTTTGCTGTGTCATGGTCTTAGTTTAGACTGTAGTTGAGTTTCCAGTTTTGATCTCCATGCTGCAGACAGACCTTTACATTCATCTCCCAACATACTAGTTCTTCAAGTGGCAAGCCTAGCACTTATGGTCCAAACCCTAATTCTAAAAGATCTCAAGAAAATATACAGTATGCAAATTAAAATCGTTTTAAAAATGAAATAGTTAGGCCACAGATGAAGCTCAGTTGTAGAACACTTGCCTAGCATGCACAGAGCCTTGGCTGGAGTCCCTGCAGAAGGAAGACTGATTAACAATACTAATGCCTAAAGCAAGTGTCGCACAGGGTAAGAATACATTTGGGCCAGGAAATAGGACATTCCCACAGAAAAGTTGGAGCTCAGATCAGGGTTTAAAGTTAAGGTGAGTGAATTGATTTTCTTGAAGAATATAATTTGATCTGCCGTATATGAATCCATGTGTTAGACTAGAACATACAAGAGAGCAGTGGGTATTAATTTAGTGATAGATGGTTGTCTAGCAATCCAAGACACTGGTTCAGTCTCCAGCATTTAAACAGTTAGGAACGTACGTGTGTGTGTGTGTGTGTGTGTGTGTGTGTGTGTGTGTGTGTTCCTAATTATATAAATATATATCCATCCTCTGAGGAATTTGACGACTGTGTATTAGACAGTGTGATAATTCCTGGAGAGAGAGTGTGTGAAAAGATCTAAGCTAATGTAAAGAGAAGTCCCTGATAAACAGAATGTTGCTCCAGGCACTAAAATGCCTTGAATACCCTGAGTCATGAAGCTGACAGCCTATCTTGAGAGATGTGAACCCGAGCCTCCCTAGCACCTGGTTAGTTGTATTTCTTAATTAGCCCTTTATCAAAATGGGTATGGCTTGATTTTATCAAGATTCTGTCATCTAAGCACACCATAAAAATGCATCAGAGATTTAACTTTGAATGCAAGCCCTTTCTTATTATCATAGATAAGTTTTTTTAAAGAACATGAAAAGTGACTAGGGTTTGTGGGAGGTCTGAGTTCATATTATAATGGAGCTGGTGCCAGCACTGAAGCTCCGATTCTAGCTCAGCTACTTCCTTGTGCAGATGAACAAATTGAGATCCATAAGTAGGGAACTGTTCATTCAGATGACACTGCTAATAAGGGGTGTGGCCTCCGTAATCTCAGCCATGTCCTCTGTGCCATCTTATTATAATAGACAGTCGTTAACCTCCACAGCCAGACTTTGTGTCACTGTGGCTTTTTACATGCCTGTCTCATGTTTATTTCAGTGTGCCTTCTTCCCGTGGAACTTCTGAGAATTATGTTCTATATATTCCCATATATAAACAAATACATTATATTTGTTTCTGTTTTTGAGATGGGGGGTCTCACTCTATTGCCCAGACTGGCCATGAGCTGCTGAGTTGAAGGATTCTCCCAAGTGGCTGGGACTACAGGCTTGTGCCAATATGCTCAACTTTATTCTCTAAACTTTTAAGGGGGAAAAGGAAAGAAACCTCAATAACTGTCCTTTTTAAATTTACTTCTGTTCAAACTATACAATAAGAAGTAAAATGATGCCTTTCAGCGGCTTGGCAGCTGCCAGCTCCTCCAAGTTCTTCCCAGTGGACACACCTGCTCTGTTGCGTATTACCTGGCACACTGAAATGGTGGTGGCTGGCAGCTGCCTGTGTCGCCTGGGTGGAGATGGATGTTTTTCTCCAGGCTCTTCTAGGACTTCTGGACCAGGATGTGCTGCCAATTTGCATCTAATAGAAAAAAAAAAGTCATTCTAGCAACTTGGTCTTATTTTTTTCATTTGTGTTTTAGACATTTTTAATTAGTTTTACTATAAAAAGAAATGTATCCTTGTATTTTATAAAATTTAGTGAATAAAAATAATATAGGATTAAAAACAAGTCTTGTACACTTATAATCCTGTCAATTCTACGTTTTTCATGGCCTTCTAAGGTGTTCTCTGCGTGTGAGCAAGCATGACTTCTGTCATGTTGATTTATCTTAATAAAATTAGGATTATCCTTAATGTTCTTTTTTCTCTTACTAATACATCTTGGACACTATTTTTAATTGACACAGAAAATTCTATTTTTAAACTATTTTGGTTTACTAAAACACCCAGAATATTCTTAATTCATAAAATGTTGTAGGTGTTTGTTGTTGTTACTGATAAATGCTCAGTTTTCTTTTCTTTTTGGAATTTTAAAAACAGTGCTTAAAATTGAAAGGCGTCATTTCTCTTCTGTGAGTACTTGGGCATTGACACAGCTGTATGTGTCATAAATAGTTTCCACATATAATTCCAGTGGCTGCCAGATTTAGTGAAGCTTAGACACAGGAATGCTAGATTACTCCTGGAAATACAGCACAGTCACTGTGATGCTTGGGGTATTATTCGTAAAAATTCATTAGACAAATACTA